GCTGCAATATGAGGCTATTGAAAATACCATAGCTTGGGTCAGAAGCCCCTTAGTCCTCAAAGTGACATATTTGCTGTTTAACACTTTAAAGAGGTCTTTTGCAGCAGATTTGCCCAATGCAATACGTAAGTTTTTATTTGTTTGACTCTTATAGCCAGATAGAGGTCAGTAGACCTGGTAGCCCTGTTATCACTGTAAAAAAGAGGAAATGGACCTTCAGTAAGTGATTTGCCCAGTGTTGCAGGGATAGGATTTGTGCTTTCTTCATAATCAACTTAACCTGCTCAAAACAGGATGATTGATGTTCTCCACAAATTCGCTTCTACCTCATCCAGTAGCCCTTCTCAGGCCAAATTCCTACCTGTCATCCCTAACACCTCTCCTCCCTCCATCCACCACCATCCATTCCATTCATCAGCATGTCCTAAATGTTCCCTTCTTCAACCTCTCAGCCCCTCCCTGCTAAAATCTGAATCTAAGTCCCCATCACCTGTCACCTAGACCAAGAGTCAGCAAGCTTTCTTTGTAAAGGGTCAGGTAGTGAATGTTTTTGGTTTCATAAGCTATAAAGTCTCTGTCACAACTCCTCAACCAGGTCATTGTAGTGAGTACACAGCCACAGTGGAGACAGACATGAATGGGTGTAGCTGTGTCCCCCCAAAATTTATGGACACCAAAATTTAAATTCCATATAATATTCGTGTGTTTGAAAATATTGGTCCTTCTTTGATTTTTTCCAACCACTTCAAATATAAAATCTAAAAAACTTTCTTAACTCATGGGCTGCAAAAACAGGATGTGAGTCGGAGATGACCCCTGGCCAGAGGTTGCTGACCCCTGAGCGAAGCCACGGCTTAAGCTATTTCCTAACTACTCTTTTTGCTCTCCCTTTCCAACAGCAATTGGAGTGACTATTTAAAAGGACAAATTGGACCATGTCTCTCAGCTGTTCAGCCCTCCCTCCAACATGGCTTCCTACCAGTTGGGATGGGATCATGTGTAGGGGGCTTTCTATGCTTAGTGTCTGTAGGTATGGTGACCAACTTGTTCCTGTTTACCCAAGACTTTCCTGGCTTTAGCACTGAAAGTCCTTTGTCCCAGGAGCCCTCTCAGTCCTGAGCAAACCAGGACAGTTGGTCACCCCTCTCTCAGGTCTTCATTGTGGCCTCAGGGGGGCAGAAAGGACCCCAGGAAAAGTATTACTCACAGCACAGTCAGTCCTAGGCAGCTCCGGGCTCTACCTGAGCTCTGGGGGGTCCAGGACAAACTTGGCGCTTATCAAGCCCAGGAGGATTGGGAAAGAAAAGGCCCTCTCAGCTCCACCTACCGCCTCCCCGACCAGGTAATTATTAATGAACAGACCCAGGGTGCAGGGAGAAACATCACTGGAAGTTGGCTATCCTCTTCCAGAGAGGAGACTGTCCGCCAGGGGTCCTGGGAGAGGTTCACGCCTCCATGTCTGTGCAGTGCATTGAGGTTTGCTCGACCTGAGGCCCAGTGAAACCCGTAGGGAGGTCTGGTCTCCACTCTGTCCCTCATTTGCTTTGTGAACTTCAGCACATCACCCATATTGGGATATGATTGACTCCCCCACCACCACCACCACCTGCAAGATAAGGGTTGGACTAGAACAGGGTGGAAAACTCCAGAGCCTTCACCAACCAGGTCAGAAGCTTCCAGGTGGCATGGCAGAGAAGGGTGGGCTGTGGACCGGAGGGAGTCACCCCTCTGCAGCCAGACAGGACAATCTGTGGGTGGACCCCGCCCGTGGCCTCAGCTGACAATCCTGGGCTGTGTGACTTCTGAGGAGCCATCCTGTGTGAGGTGGGAGGGTCCATGATGGAATCGCTGAGGTCTCACAGTAGGACTGCAGGACAGTGTCCGGTCCTTGGGGCGAGGCTGGCATGGGTAAGCCTGACCCCTGCTTGGGGCAGGAATCCAAAATACACATCTCCTGTTTTATATTGAGCTTCAACCTACTCTCTCTCTCTAGGACTCAGAGGGTCTCTGCACCCTTGCACCATCTGGGGACAAATAGAAGTGTGGGTGACACGTGACTTTTTCTTCAGATGTTGGGAGAACAGCCATAGAGAGTGATGTGACCCTTCAGTGTCCTGAGGGAGATGATCTTGGAGTCTTGGACTTGTGGGCTTCTTCTAGTAGAATTCTCTGAGCATGTTTCCACGTCCTTGGGGTCTGAATGTAAGTGGAATATACACCTTGAGCAGCAAGATTGGCTGGCTCCTGAGCTGAATGGAGCACTAAAATCTTACTTTAAATACAATAAGAGAGTACTTTATGGAAAATCCTAGAGAAACTGAAAATACTTTCATAATTTCATGATCACTCCTTATCTTGGAGACAGTCACTTTCATTAAAGGAGCCCTGGTGGCCCAGTGGTTAAGAGTGCTGCTGCTAACTGAAAGGTCAGCTGTTCGAACCCACCAGCTGCTTTCCAGGAGAAAGATGTGACAGTCAGCTTCTGTAAAGATTTATAGCCTTGGAAACCCTACGGAGAAGTTCTAGTTTGTCCTGTAGGGTTGCTGTGATTTGGAATTCGACTCAGCGGCAATTGGTTTTGTTTTGTTTCGGCTTTCATTACCTGCAGCCTTCAAGTTGATTCCAACTCATAGCAACCCTGTAGGACAGAATAGAACGGCTCCATAGGGTTTCCAAGGAGCAGCTGGTGGATTCGAAATGCCGACCTTTTGGTTAGCAGCCAAGCTCTTAACCACTGTGCCACCAGGACTCCTGGCTTTCATTAGGATGGTGCATTCGAAGGGAAGGGTTGACCATAGATCAGCACCCCCGGCACAATGATTACCTGTTCTGGAACACAATGTCCCACTTTATTAGTATCTCTGGAGTCAAGGACCTTCTACCTGCTTCATTTTCCCTGGTTTGGAAGAATGAAAAACACTCTTGTGTCCCCTTCATAGTTCATCCACAGCACCGAGCAGGGCAAGAATTCATCTTCAAAATACCAGAGGCGATGGTTATTCTGCCACATCATGGGCATTTGGATGATCGTGTTCTCATCCACGTAGGAGTCTTGGGGGCTGGTTCTCGAGGGACTGAATGGGTTCTCCCATCAAGCTGTGAGGAGAACGAAAGAAGATACAGGGCCTCTGAGGTCCATAAAGCCAATTCCCTGGCCAGGAAATGACTCCCAGTGTTCTGAGCCATCCTAAAGACATTCCAGACCCTCTCTACCTCCAGCTCCATTCTTTCCTTCTTGCTTTGTACTTGTCTTCCTCCTCTTCCTCTCACTCTCCCTACTTTTCCCTTTCTTTCCCTCCCTTCTTCCTTCCTCTTCTTCCACTTCTTTTTTTTTTCTGTCTCTTCCTCTGAGCAACTACTACCTGGATCAAAACATAGAACACCAGTGTTGTTGTTAGGTGCCGTTGAGTCGGTTCTGACTCATAGTGACCCCATGCACAACAGAATGAAATGCTGCCTAATCCTGTGCCATTGTCACAATCATTGCTATGCTTGAGACCATCGTTGCATCCACTGTGTCAGTCCGTCTCATTGAGGCCCTTCCTCTCTTTCGCTTACCCTCTGCTTTACCAAGCATGGTATCCTTCTCCAAGGATCGGTCCCTCCTGATAACAGTCTAAAGTAAGCAAGACGAAGTCTCAGCATCCTCGCTTCTAAGGAGCATTCTGGCTGAACATCAATAACCTCTATAACATCAATGCACTAAGGGCCCCTTCTCAGTTACAAAACCTCTCCATCCCCAGAGATAACCATTGTACTGAGTTTTGTGATCATTATTTCCCTGATTTTCCTTACAGTTTTATCAATTAGGCTTGTATCATGTGATGGTTAAGGTTATATGTCAACCCGGCTAGGCCATGATTCTCATTGGTTCAGCTGATATGAAATCGTTGTCCATGATGTGATCTGTTGTGAGCAGCCAATCAGT